TTGATCAGCCTAAGCAAAGAGAAAATCATAAGCAAAAAAGAAAGAGAATCTCATAAAATGGCTATTACCAAGAAATTGTTTGTTGCATTTGTTCTCACCATCCTCTTTGTCATATCTTTTGTCCATTGTCAAACAACATCTGATAGCACTTCTGGTACTGGCTTGTTATATTCCCTACTCTCTCTCTTTTTTTTTTCTATATTGTAGACCTAATTTTATTGTTATTATGCATGTATATATCGGTCTAATGATTATCATTCAATAGGTTTTGGAATAAAGGAAGATTATAATTGCTACACACAATCTCCGTGTATAAGCGGAGGGACAAAAGGTTGCACTGATTTTTGTAAGAGAATGATGCGTTCAAAAACAGCTAAAGGCCAATGTAATTCTGAAAACATATGTTGTTGTCTTATTTAGTTACTCTAAATAAGTATGCGTCTACGATGAAATAATGTAGTGAAATGGTTTCTACAATATTTGAATGATAACATCATTTGTTTTCATGCGGTTTTTAATTTCTATATAAAAAAAATTGGAAGTGGAAAAACAAACTCGTACAAATCATAACTAATAACTCGAGCGAATTTTCTTGCAATTTAATCCATATCTAAATTAAATCTAGTCGAAATACAACATAATGATATAGGAATATAAAAACAAACAGAGAGCCGGGTTGGTTAATCAAATTTATTGTTACAAAGCAGCCTGAAACCCTAGCCGTTAAGAGAGAAAGGAAAAAAAAAGTGATTTGAGTTTTCTCCCTCTCCGATGTCCGGTGTTTTTACCAATTTTGTGAAAGGGGGATATGTGTTAACTAATAGAGTTTCTACGCTTGAGATGAAGTGTATGGATGTAACGCATGTGAACCAAATTCAGTGAATTTTGGTCGTGTGTCGATCGACACAACCTTTAATTAAACCGACCGTTTTGATTCAATTGTTGGTTTGGCTGGTTTGGGTTAAGAGAACCCTAGGGCATGATATAAAAATGCATGGAGACGTTTTTGCAGCCGATTTTGGAGAGAAAAATGAAAGGATTTCGTAGGTTGTGAGAGAGAAGAAGAGATTGTTGCTTTGGAGACAGTTCTGGCCCGTTTTAGAAGATTAGAGGAACAGACAGTCTAATCAGATCGGATTAGAGTAAAAATTCTAGGGTAAGTTTTCCACTCTCATATCTAGCTTCAGGAGAAATCGGTTTGTCAATTGGATTACTATTCTGAGAGTTATCGTTCTTTTTCTAAGAGATGTTTCTGCAGTTTTGGGTCTGCGATCAGTCCATTCCGAGGGAGGATTCCTGTCGAACCAGAAGGATTTAGGAGACTATCTGCCTATCTTTGGAAAGCTCTCTCTGTCTAGTTTCTAGATCAGATTTCCGATCCTGTTTCTAAGGTAATCTCCATTCTCGGTGTGCTTTTGAAGTCAGCGTATCGTTTCTGTTTTCTGAAACCCTAATTCGGTTTAGGTGATTTTTTTGGAGAAAGGATCGTACATTGGTTAATTTCGGGTTGGGAGAGTGAAATCAGAGGCTGGGCGAYTTAGARTTGTGTGTTCTTCGTGTTCATCCTCTTTTTCAATCMRGAA